TTAGTGTCTTACTGTATGGTTACGGTAGCTAAAAATTTGAGAGACATCGATTTTTTCAAAATTCACCGGCTTATCTTTCTCTATGGGAAGGGGATCTTTCGCTAATCGCTAGTATATGATAATCTACAGAAACAGCTTTACCAAATCGTATTTACTTGACTGTTCCATGTGTGTTCTTCGCTGAGTTACACCACTACGGATACCCATCCTCACACAAAAATTGAGCAGACTGAAAACGGAACAGTAAGAGAGTGTAGTAAATCAGAAGATTCATCTCGACGAGCTGAACATCATGCTTTCCTCGGATTCGTATTTTATGCAATCTGAAGGAAGTTATGAGGAAAAAACGAAAAAAACGCGGATCGTCAGTTTTTGCGTTTTCTGTCGAATAATTAGTGTGGGTACTGTACACACAGAGGAACAAGTGTCTGCTTGCAAAAATGAATACAGATCCTTCTCGTTATAAAGAGTCTCAGGGGTAGCCCTGATTGAAAAACAACGCTTAAATATTGGACTCAATGACAGTTTGCGGACAAGGTGGAGGTTTTGGGATTTAAGTGCCATGCGAAAGTGTTCCCCTTGGACACTGCAAGTGGCCATAAGGTTTGACCACCCATGAAATATGGCCGGAAATTTGAGAAACTAACGCCCTGGAGCGGGGCTCCTTAGCTGTTCTCTTGCTTGTGGCAGAGTACGCATGCAGCCACAGTCAAAACTGTGGAATCCCGCAGCACTTTACGACTCCGCCTTGGCGGGAACGTCCTTCAAATTATAAGGCTTTAGAAAATACATGTTTTTGCCGTTTTCGCGCTTACTAATGTGGAGATTCAGATTCAGCGTTCGGATAATCCCAGGTAAGTGTATTTTCTAGAAATCGAATTTTGCCCGGACACTGCCTTTAAAGGCCGTGTCCGGGCAAGAACTCGATTTTGAGATTTTGTGCTTACCCTGGCCTATTCGCCATGCTGAATCCGAAAATCCACATCGGAGAGAGCGAAAACGACGAAAAAGGACTTTAACACTGGAGGGGAATCAGCAAGTGGGCGGGGTCTTCCCCACTGTGAATTCACACTTCCAGCTTCCAGAGCAATTTTCTCGAATCCATTAGCCGCCCTGACATCATTACCGATCAAATGCAAACGAATGACTTGAAACCGGAATCAAAAAGATCGCTCCCGAAGCTGGGAGCGTGAATTCACAGTGGGGAAGACCCCGCCCACTTGCTGATTACCCTCCAGTGTTAGAGCCCTTTTTCGTCGTTTTCGCGCTCTCCGATGTAGATTTTCGGATTCAGCATAGCGAACAGGCCCAAGTAAACACAAAATCTCAAAATCGAGTTTTTGCCCGGACACTGCCTTTAAGTTATGCTTGCACCCTACCAGGATTAGGCATAAAGTGTGGCATGCTACATATACTTGAGGGTCGTATTGAGGAGTCAGAGAGGCGGGGAGGGGAAAGGGGGGGGGGGAGTGAGGGGGAAGTTGTTTATCGAGGTGACTCTGATGTTAGCGATAACATGACATTCGTTATAATGTCAGATAGGCCCAACACGCAAATTACTAGCACACGTTTTGTATACATACAGTAAGCTAATAAAAGATCCATAAAAGCATCAGAGTTAGGAATCCTACTTCAAATAACCTCCAAAAAGAATCAAGAGCAGGACTAAATCTCGTCTGTTCCATATCTCGCTTTCAACATCTCAACTAAACTACGAGGTTAGGCTATCGAATATATACATTTTTGTCGCCTCCCCTTGCAGTTCACGTAGTTGCGGAAACTTAGCATTTTACCATAACCCAATATTTCCGCAGTATTTTCCATTTGCACTGAGGAAAACAACTATATCTTTGCTAGAAGAAACGATTTCAAATGAAATTCCTGCTGTGTAAAGAAGGAAGTCAAGCAGTAGCAACAATATAAAAAAGGTACTTGAGTGGAATGAAGGTAAGTTAATGGGGTATGACGCAACCCCGAAAAGATGTGGCAGCCGCAGCTTTTCTGGGGTTTGCCACACCCCCTAACTTACGCAAAAAGTTTTGTGCATATGATTAGAGCGGATTTAGTCTTCTTTCGTTTGAGCGATAGTTGCTGGAAGCACCATCTCTGCGAGCGAAAAGTGAGACAAACGAGATTTTGGCTGGTTCCTCATTCTATAGGCTAATGGTCATTTGAAGCAGGATTCATATTGCAGGCGAATATGGAGTAGTGCTTTGTATTGAATACAAAAAGAGATAGCCAGTTCACTTTTGAAACATTTAACCATGATTGAAAAAGGGCACTCACTTGGGTGGCCCAATATTGAGAACCCTCAGAAATCGCTAAAACTTGACCCACAGGGTTTATTTGACATGGCAATTACGAACATCTCACTGGTTATGATCGGTTGAACGTTTGAGTCATGAGTCATGACCAGGGTCAAGCGTGGGGTGTGGCACGTCACACCCAGGGGGTCTTTTCGAGGAGTCATCGAGTGGCGCTGTTAGTAGTGATACATGTTATTCATAAGTAGTTTTCAGAAAGAGACATCGACTTGTCGTCGTGTACCTAGCACAGCATGATAAGAAGCTCAGCTAAGCATAACTAGTAATACATATATCCATGATCAGCATATCAAATAGATCCTGTGGATTAAGTTTGAGCGAATTCGAAGTTTCCAAACACTAGGTCCCCTGAGTGGAATGGTCATTTTCGTACATAATTAGCTTTGTTTTAAAGGTGAGTTATCTACCTTTTTTGGTACTCAGTACAAAGCACTACTCCTTCTATGTCCATCTGAGAAAAGACTTCTAAACAGTGGATATAGGAGCCAATCAAAATCTAGTTTTTTTCAGTTTTTCGCTTTGGTATACTTTCACCAACTATTACTGAGAGCAAAGGAAACGAATCAGGATAAATTACTGGGGAGTGGCACAACTTCAAAAAAGATGTGGCTGCCACACCTTTTTTAGGTTGCGTCGCACCCCATTGCCACGTCAAAAAAACATTTCTAGCGAACATTGTTTATATGATTCAATAGCTATACCTCGTAGATTCCATAGGAGTAGTTCAAGCCTGCGTCTTCTTTACTTTAAGTAATACTTGGTGAAAGTACAGCCACCGAAACGAAAAAAGGGAAAACGAGATTTCAATTGGCTTCCAAATCCAGAGCATGGATTTGGAGCAGCATTTCTGAGGTCGGCAAAAAGGTGTAGTGCTTTGTATTGAGTGTCAAAAGAGGTAGCTAACTCACCTTTGAACTAAAGTTAATGTACGAAAATGACCATTTCACTTAGGTAGTCCAGTACTTTTAAACTTCCGAATTCGCTCATACTTGGTCCACAGGCTATTTGACACATAATTATGAACTTACTCATGCTTGGTAGCGCTTCAAGTTATGCCTACCTTAGGTATGCAGTAGTTTACGGAGGTTTGATAGCGACAGCAATTGGGGGGGGGGGGGGGGGGAGGGCGGTCGTATTTAGCCATCTTGTACCATACCTCCTGCTTGACCCTGGTCATAAAGGTAGGCGAAGAAAATGTTGGGGGGGGGGGTATGGGACAGGATAGGGAGAGTGGGTCGTATCCGGCGGTTGTGTGTCATACCTCTTGCTCGACCCTGCATCTTACGTTTCTTCTGCATCTCTCTACTGCCTATTGATGACAAAAGCAACAGAACACCAATAGACATCGGTTTGAAAAATATAATTGTCATTCTCAGGTAAAGCAACTATTCAAGCGATAAAACTAGAAAGGGCAGGTAGAGCCACTCGAATTAGCAAAGTCGCTTACTAATCACTTCCAAAAATATTTCTTAGGTGCTCATCTCGATCTCATTCCCATTTCCCTGGTGAGGTCTTGCGCTCACAATTTTTGTTGTTTTCATTGTTTGTTTGTTTTATTTTTGCATATTTTGTACTCTTCCTGAAATGCTACTCTTTTTCATTGGGAATGTAGACAGATAGCCTCCGCCGTAGGCTCGCTGGCTCTCAAATTAACCCATTGACGACGACGCCTAATTTTGCGTGGCGACTCTGTGACACGATGCTAATTTTGCATAACGCTTTCGGCGTGGGAATGATTCGTGGTTAATTACGAATTGTAAAGTTGTTTTGTATTCAATTACTATCATCTTCTTCGACGGTCTAGGGTTCTTGAGAGTGCGAAAAGCTGGAAGAAATACTGAACTGTGGAGAAGATACTAGATCTGGGAAGGACATGACTTTGCAGGGGGTGTCGGCCACCGTTGATCTACATCGTCCCTGACGGCAAAAAGTGCGTGGGCCACCGGTGGTCTACATCGTCCAATGGGTTAAGAAAACAATTTCCATCAAATCAAAAACATAATTTCAAGACTGCAAGCTCTCAGTTGAGGATGTATTTTCTTCTCCTCACAAAAGTCGATTAGTAATCGAGCAATGACCAAACAAATAAATAAGCTCTGCATCAGTCCTGTATGCTGTCATTTATGCAGTCGACCTGGTGCACTTCAGCTAAAGAAATTGAGAAATAAGGAACTTTAAGTGGCCATGACTAGCAAAATTTTTCTAAGAAACTGTCATCGTGGAAGCTGTCCGAAACATAGCTAAAAAGCGCACATTCTCTTCTTATATGTTCGGTTAGAAAGAAAGTTGCTGCATTATTCGAATGAAATTCGATAACATTTCCAGTCCTGAGCCCAAAACTGTTCTGCTTCTCTGTTTGTGTATGGTTGACTGCAAGGCGGGGTACGAACACATTATCCCCTTTTCACACGTATGGGAGGGAACTTCACATTTCGTAAATTTAAGTTGGATCCCTAGAAGTACCAGAATGTCACTAGCTCTGGCAACTTCTGCGAAAATGTGGTAGGAGCAGCCTATACTGCTGGTCTTTCATAAGCACAAGTTTCCTTCTTCTATAAAACGTAGGATAAAAACAAAGAGAAACTTCTGGTATACCTAGAGACTTAGATTTTCTAATTCGCATAAGTGATATTCCTTTGGGAGAATCTTCTTGGGTTTGTAAAGACATATGTAGATTTATTCGCTCTTGATCTTATTCTTGCCTCTTTCACTCCAGATAAACATGATCAAAGTAGTCAAAACGGAGATCAACAAAATATGCAGAAAGTTTAGAACTATCACAAATATATGCATTTCAGCAATTCGTTGCATCGGTAAAAGAAGGATGAACAACAAAGTGGCAGTGACAGCAGAAGATAAGAATCGCAAAGAAATGTTGGAAGAAGAGGCATTTTGTAAATTACTGCTGCTATTGCTGTCGTCAGCCGTATTGTCAGATGACTTCCGAAAGCGATTCAGCGCTTCCAGAATATGTATAGGTTGTAGAAAATAACTGAAAGTGGCTGGTATGAATACATAAACCATTTTCAGTCCAAGAGAGAATTCAAACTCACTTTAGCAGGATATATAAGGCCGTTGTGAACACAGCCGCTATTCTGAAGTCCATGTGAGGGGGCCACAGCTTATGCATCTTTGTCATTCTTACGATATCGGTTCGAAATGCTGCCGAATTTGATAATGAAGAAGCTTTGAATGCCTGGAATGAAAGTGCATAAATTGAAAACAAGATCAATGCATAACAATTGGTGTTGTATCGTTAAAAAATGATCACATTACATTGTCCCAAAAGTAATCCTTTTTCGAATAAGTCAATCTATCTTTGTTTTTCTAGACTCGAAGCAATATTCGATAGAGCAAAGCAAGCTGTACAAAATGACCACAAAAGATTCACCTAAGTCACGATCCAGGTAAAGTTTAGAGCCAAAAAGTAATTTCCTACTACCCTGAGATTAGGAGCTCTTTTCTGAAAACTCATACGAACCTCAACTTGGTCATCTTGCAGTAATACGAAGTAGTTATCATTTACTAATTTGCTGGGTTTTTGTTCCACTAAAAAAAACAAAGATAGCCTAGAAATGCAAAAATGTCACATTTTTCGGGGTTTTTGATGTCATGGTATTTTTCGATCATCAGAGCATCTTCAGAGATAAAGATTACATTTACTAAGGGCCGCATGCATTAACATCCCCGCCGGGGAGGGGATCGCAGCTTACAAAGAAAGCTTCATATGCTAAAGCTCCGAACTTCTGGATTTCACGCTGTTTACCCATTTGTAAGTATTCCTACCATCCTTCACTATGAATATATTGAATAGGAGCGAGAAGCAGTGCAAGCTGCATTTTTTAGCATTTTGATGATCCCCTGAAGATCCCTGGCGGCCGACCGTCTTTCCTTCAAAGTCATTTTTCTCTCTTCATAGTTAGCGAAAACATTCCAAAGTTGTACTGTTCATCTAGCCCAGCAGTGCTAAGCATGTTGCTGATAAGAACAAATGGTCTATCGAAGTCATGAAATTTGCGGTGAACCACAAATCGAATGCTGGGGTTTATCGAAAAATTCCATTTTTCAAAAACTCATCTGTTCTTATCAGCAACATGTTTAGCACTGTTTGTTAGAGTTCAACACAACTTTAGTGTGAAGTAAGAAAAATGACTTTGAAGAAAAGACGGTCGACCGCCAGGGATCATCAGAGGATCATACAAAATGCTAGAAAATGCGGCTTGTACAGCTTCTCGCTCCTGTTCAATATATTCATAGTGAAGGATGGTAGGAATACTTACGGATAATATACAGCGTGAAATCAGATATTGGGTCTTCAGGATATGAAGCTTTTTTTCTAAGGGCCGCATGCACTAACATCCCCGCGGGGAGGGGATCGCAGCTTAAAAGAAAGCTTTATATTTCGAAACTCCAAATACCTGGATTTCACGTTGTGTACCTATCCGTAAGTATTCCCACTACCCTTCACTATGAACATGTTGAAGAGGAGCGAGAAGCTGTACGAACCGCATTTTCCAGCTTTTGTATGATCCCTGATGATCCCCGGCGCTTTTCTTTAAAGTCATTTTTCTTTCTCCGAAGTTGACGAAAAACCTCCAAAGTTGTGCAGATTGTCTAACCCGACAGTGCTAAGCATGTTGCTGATAAGAACAAATGATGTTTCGAAGTCATGAAATTTTCGATGATCCAGAGGTCGAAATTTGAGGTTTACCGAAAAATTCGACTTTTCAAAAACTCATTTGTTCTCATCAGCAACATGCTTAGCACTGTTGTGTTAGATGTTCAGTACAACTTTGGAAGGATTTCGTTAACTTCGGAGAAAGAAAAATGACTTTGAAGAAAAGCGCCGGGGATCATCAGGGATCATACAAAAGCTGAAAAATGCGGTTCGTACAGCTTCTCGCTCCTGTTCAACATGTTCATAGTGAAGGGTATTAGGAATACTTACGGATAGGTACACAACGTGAAACCCAGGTATCTGGAGTTTCGAAATATAAAGCTTTCTTTCAAGCTGCGATCCCCTCCCCGCGGGGATGTTAGTGCATGCGGCCTTAAGCTGCGATCCCCTTACCAGCGGGGATGTTAATGCATGTATACGAATTGTGTATTAATCGAATTGAATCCTATATGTGTATTCGTATACTTGCGGTATACGAATACATATATACGAGGAGCTGGGGAGGGGTGGGGGAGACGGTTTACTATTGAACTATCTTTTTTCTATGCAGGAAAATATTCAGCAAATGCGTTCATGAATATGTACCGCTATGTATTTTCTGTATGATGACCAGCTGCAGCCCCGTAGGTTTCTTTTCGCAAAAATGCAATTTTCAGGTGACAAAATTTTTGGCTCCAAACTTTACCTGCAAATACGACTCAGGTGGATCTTTGGTGGTCATTTTGTAAAGTGCTTTGCTCTATCAAGTGCCCTAACAATAAGCCTGCTATAAAAGTGGACCAGTCTCAATTATTGGAAAACGGATTTATATTTGCAGCTCAATATCAATTTATCAGCATTTTCAAAAAACTTATGAAATCAGAAGAGTTTTCTTAAAACTTTCTATCTCAAGAGGAGCGAAATATCGTTTGATAATAGCATCAATACATGGTATTTGGTCGTTATTACATTGACACTGAAACATGATTAATATCGTATTGCTAGTATTTCCATCAGGGCTCGGCACGAGCCGGCACCGGGGGAATTCCAAAACGATATTCCTTTTAATTTTGAAAATTTTGTACGAAGTCTCTTTTCACCCTGAATCCTAAACGTAGAAAACCCTCAAAAGACGAAACGTCGACTTAAAAAAACGCCGCAATTTTTGTGTCTTTTCGGCTAAAAAACAATATTTCTTTGCTTTTTGCCCCAAAAACGATATCCAGCATGACACGGTGCTAGCTTACCGAGCCCTGATTTCCATACTCAAAAGAATACGTTTTCTTGAAAAAATCCTGTATTGCAGAAAATGTGTGAGCTATTCCATTCAAAAAAATGTCAAAAAACTTAGTTATTGACGCCCCCAGAAAGCTCAATAAAGAAATTAGATTATCTTTCAGGCCTCGGGCAGAGTTCACGCGATTTTATCGTCGCGATTCATCGCGACAACACAACTATAAGGCCTAAGGCATACTTCAGGCGATTATCAGTCGCTACGCGATTTTACACTGCAGCGACTGCCAATAATTGGGCCTAAGAGCGCTTTGCTCAGGCCAGACTTGTTAACCTAGCGCAACTTACAAGGGCTACGCGCCTATGCGTTTGAGGCCCGTACACGGTCAATCTGTAGACATCTGGCAAAACGCCAAGTCGCGCGAACGAGGCGATTTGACGAATTTGCGAGAGGTATGCCTTAGGCCTAACAATATCATTGCATGCCGGTCTTCTTGCATTTCGTTGTGATAGTTTTCCTACACGACTAATCGTGACTATCACAAGTGAATTACGAGAAAATCGACGTGCAATTGACTCGTAGCTAGTCTTGTTGCGATGAATCACGACGATAAAATCGCGCGAACTCTGCCCGAGGCCTTACGCTCCAGGAATATTTTGCGATTGTCGGATCAAACTTAGTTCACCTGTCCTTCTAGAAAGTCGCATATCCTTTCTGCAGCCTTCATTTCGCCATGTTTCTCCAAAAACTTAGGCAAGTGAAACAAAAAAATTTTCCGAAATTTCGATTTAGCTCTCAAAAAAACCTCAGCTAGTGCAAGTAAGGCAGACCTGCTACATCTAGCTGTGCAAGATTTCTCACATTAACGCTGTGGATTCTGAATTATTCATTACGCTACTGCTTTATGGACATATGCATGCGTGAACGTGTCTAGCCAATTCCAATTCCCCGAACGCAAAAGTGGCTGTCTTGCCTAATGATGCTAAATTATGAATAATCTCCAATCCATAAAATCCCAAACCTCGAAAAAATTTCAAAAAATTCAAAAATCCAAAACCTCATTATTCCTTCTTACAATTATACCACAAATCAACCTTCCGCTGTTAAGGATTGCTTTTCTCGTCGGGAAGCTTTAGAATCCCATTACTTGCAACCGATACTTCTGATATAACGAAGGCGAAACAGGATGAGGCCATTTCAACGCTTTTAAAAACCTAAATTCAAGCTTACTTCATCTAACACTTGTATAATGCGGGGATCGAAGATACATTGAGAGAGGTAAAGGTTGACACCGCTGGCGACTGCAAGCCGCGCAGTTGTCTCGGCAGCGTTCCATGGCTCGATGGATAGTAGAAAAGTCTTCAGCCGTCTAATCCTTTCCATATCTGAACTATAATATTATTGTGTAACTCCTATCGAAGACCGATACAACAACCAGATTTCGAAGATTATTAGAGATTAGCAGAGAGATTAGAGCAGAGACCTTCTCGCAGAATTCGGAAATTGATCGACTACAGCTCATATTCGGAACACAATGCAAAATCAGGGTTTTGTTATTAGCATTTATTATCGAAGCTGCTTCGCTGCGTCGGATTCCAATGCCGTACCGGCGCCGTACCGGAACTGTGCCGGAAGAAGCCCATTGATAACTATGTGGGTTCCAGCATAGCGCTGACATGGTGGTGGGATGGTGCTGGAACGACGCTGGCACGGTTCCTGAACTGCCAACGAGCAAACATGTACGCAGCCTTCGTGCCACTTGTTTTTGAAACTCTTTCAACGGTACTTCCTAAATTTCAGATTGCTACTCCAGAGTAAGATCTCATCCAAAACTGAGGTGTGGCTGATATTTCGAATTATTAGGTTGGCACATAAGTAATGTAACTTTTCATATAACTTTTGCCTTTGAACGTAACGCATTTATTTTTTGGCAATATAAGGAATATGATGTAAGCTTCTAATGCACACATTTTTGCCGAATTTTACCATCTTATGTGAGGATTACGGTAGGTTTACGGTACTATGGGAAAATTTTAGAATGCATCAAATTTTGCTGAAACTTGGCCTATAGGGCTTATCTGACATGCTGATCACAAAAATGAGATCCATTTCGCATGAAAAGGCCTCGTTCGTGAGATCAACAAATGAATATGATATTCGTGTTTACCGCATAGGATTACCCTATAGTGCAAAGTTATAGCGAATTCTGACTCTTCGCAGCTTAGTTATTGACAAATTGCCTTCAAAATTTGACGCATTTGACTTGTTCAACTTCTCAAAGGCGCCCCACTTTAATTTGTGTTTAAATTTCATTTCTTTTTCACTGATTCCAATGTGCCAACTTCCAGCTACATGCTGCCTATAATTGTTTTTTCTTATGTTTGAATCAGGTTTCGTGAGGCTTCATGTTTGCCAAAAAATCGTGAAACCTCGATTTTCAGCAGTTTTCAAAAAATGCTTAGATTTTTTGCACTACGTTATCAAAAATCAAACGGTTTGCGCAGACTTGCAGCTTACATCACGATCTACATGGTGCCACAAAATCAGATTGCTACATAAAATAGGAAAAAAGTTACGGGAAAAGTTGCAAAACTTATGTGCCAACCTAATACATCTTCACGACAAAATCACAAGCATTCTGGCTTTCCGTTGAATAAAGGTTCTGAAAGAAAAAGTTGCACATAAACAAGAGAAGCCAGAAGGAAGAATTTTTCGAGAATTTCGTATAATCAAAAAAACCTGCAATTTTCACAAGGTTCCAGCAAGATTTTAGCAGCGTAAGACTACCCTTTCAGGAGATCTAGACACTTCCAGGAATAAGGAAAGAAATGTTGTTTTTAGAGCAATGTTGATAAGAATCATTAGTGCTTCGCAAGGGCTTCACATTTTCAGTTTTACTAATGTGGCTTTTTCCTACTTTTCTTGCCTTCCCCATCTTTTTCGAAACACAAATTCAATCCTAGGGAAAACGTCGAACTTTCGGCTCAATTACATACACAAATTTAGGGCAGCGAATTGATCGCTGATACAAAACATTTTCCCCTGAATCCTTCGTCCCCGTCACCACAACTTCAAAATCGCAAATAAAAAGTTATGGGGCATTCATAAAATGTGACAACGACGCGGCCGCGCGCGTCGCGCACGCATTAGCATCTGATTTCCATCTGTTTTTATATGACAGCATGACTGAGCTGAGCATCAAAGTCTTTTGTAAGAGTGTTTTATGCCCATATGGGGAAAGAAAATCTTGCGTTCAGAATATGCTTAAGTTGAAATTCTTGAGAGCATATGGCATCGATATAAGCTGATTAAGAGGAATACGGAAAAGTGAATTTTTTCGATAATTTGGGTTTATTTTCGGTCAGTTTCATGACCTAGTCTTTTTGACTAAGCGAAGTTGGTAGTGATTGGATATCTCTAGGAATAGTTATGAATTTCGATTTTTTCAAATTTACTCATTGTTTTGTTTCATATTGATTTTTTGAAAAGTTTAAACAACTACATTTGACATACATAAGAAAGAGCATAATGTGTAAATCATTATGAGGCCTTTTTAAAATGCTTTTATTCTATTTTTTAACGCAAGAATTGTGCATCTACCGAATGATCAGTTCACTGGTTGTTTTCCAAGTAACTGCGTTAAACTCTCCTTTTTTAAGAGAGATAAACATTTATGACCGACGCTAAACCGGAGTCAAAATCGACAGTGTTCGGTGAAAATAACGATGTAAAATTGACCCTGTTCTGTAGAAGTAAGGAACGATTTTCAGCCCTTGTTAAGTTTTCAACACTTCCCCCTCATGCAGAAGAATGTCAGTCTTTTGCTATGACTAAACCGAAATTTTCCCATTTAGTTTTTGAATGGAGATGACATTTAGAGAAGCCAAAGCGACTATTTATTTAGCAGTAAGATTCAATATAGACATAGGCTTCCAAATTAACGAAATTAACAATTTTGTAATACTATGTTCAACAGATTTCGCATAGTTTGAGGCACAAGGACGGATCGACCTCATCGTGTGTCGAAAAAACGTTTGACTGCGCAGTATTACAGAGGAGTTGTGAACCCTGCTACTTCTATCACATGAGATAAGTTCATTGAAAAACACAGGCCCAAGCTCAGAAGCCAAATTTGTTTTGTTTTTGTCAAGTCAGGAATATTCAGTTTCTATCAAATGCGAATTACTACAATCTTGTTAACAGCAAAGGAAGAAAGCTCCTGCCAGTGGCGTACCCAGGATTTCGGCTCGGGGGGGGGGGGGGGCGCGACAAAAATTTTTTTCTAAAGAAGGTGCGTGGCGTTAGCCACGCACTCCGAAAAAATTTTTGGAGTACTTCTAAGAACTTTTGCGGGTCCCCGACCCTTAAAATCTGGAAAAAAGGGGCGTGGCGTCAGCCACGCCCCCGGAAAAAAATCTTTTACAAGGCTAATTAGAATTTTTAAAGATTTTCAAAAATTTGATTATTTACAAAAATAAACAAGTCACTTGCACATTTTTATAACCCATATAAGCAACTTTTAAAAATTTCGCGACCCATTCTCGGGGGGGGGGCGCCCCCCCCCCTCGGTACGCCACTGATTCCTGCATATTTGTTCGTGCACAAATACCGGATATCAGAATATGCAGTTTTAAGTCTTTAGATGGTTTGAACTCTAGATAGTTGCGAATTGTATCGTTAGTAGGGTGAAATTCCTGATTTACTTATTTCACCGATAAAAATGTATTATGTACTACTCATTCTACAGGAAATTTTGTTTTTCTAGAAATACGAAGAAAACTTAGCATCTTTCTAATATATTTGTGAACTTCTATTGTGGTAGATTTTTTGCGTCATAATTGTTATGCTTCTTTTATATCGTATACAAAAAAATATAGGGGATCCCGGTTTTAAGAATAGAAGTGCAGTACTTTGACGTCGGAATGTGTCCGGAAGCTTGATTTTTGTTGCCAGATGGACACCAATTAGCACATTTTTAGTAACTTGATAACATCCTGAACACCTATCAAATTTCTGAAGAAGTGTGTAAGATCGTGCCAGGGCTTGTTGATCTTATATCAGGAAAGACAGATTCAAGACATAAATGTTGTAGGTCAAAGAACAGTAAAATACCTGCGACTAATGGCAACCTCGTAAATATTTCTGTCAATTTTTCACCGAAATCTGTCAAATTTGGCAAGTGAAAACACCAGATAACTAGTAAGCTAGAGCACTTGTCTGGTATTCTTGAGAGACTCGCATAGCTTTGAATTGGGCTGTTGAGTCGCGGGAATTGCGCCTCTTGACCGTGTCCCTTTTGCGTCTTTGCTCGCTACTCACACCAACACACTACAGAAAAAAAAATACTTTACTTTTGGCATGGTCAGAGGAGTACAACTTCAAAGAAAGGTTCCATAAAAAATGATTTACAAAATGCATATGAGTCAACAAGCAACAACTGTTCACACGATAACATGGTCATCTTTCGGGACGCGAATGGTCGATCGCGTCACCTTGACCTAATTCGAGAACCTCGGATTGACGATGAGAGAAAGCACGAGATGATACTGTTTTTGCAAAAATAAAAAAAACAGGAAGTGCTCAGAACATATCCGAAAAATTTCTCCTGGCTGGGACATTCGGCTTCTTTTTACTGAAATATGTACACATGCACTTTTTTAAAAATAAGGATCCAACAGGGGGGGGGGGGTGTGGTACTCGACATACAGCCCTCCCTTTTGATGATTTTCTAGCACCCGTTAAAAAAAACAACAAATTTCCATCATCAAGAGAAAGGGTATCATTCTTATTTCTAACCACAATTGCGACATCCATCCATTTGGGTCCTTATAAACTCCCCAGGTGTGGAGTGCCACCTCCATGATTGACACTGGTCAGAAGTGATACTGATGCAACAACTTCCAATGATGGGATATTAACACAATAAATAACATGTTATGTTCACCAATAAATGGAAGATTAGTCGAAAACATAGAAGATGCTTCAACCAAATTTGATAACAAGGAAAGAGAAAGCACTGTTGCATAAGATGATAACAATAAAAGTAACGCATAATCATGCAAGGCATTTGCATCGATACTTATGTAGGCAAGATGGGTAGACAAGATAAACTTATTCCTCTTCAATATCCTCGCAGTCTATGAGAAACAAATCGCAATCCAAAACTCGTTTTTTCCTAGTGGCCCAAAACCTAAAAGCTGATGTCATAAGTGTGGACGCACACAACAATGAAATCAAACCTACTTTATGGTTCTGGGTGCAGTGAGCTGATTATCAAGTATATCATCCAGTCGTTCATGTGGGACTAGAACCTGAAATGGACATTATGAGAATGAGTAGCAAACAGCACCTAAAACTCCAACCGGGATAAGATGACGACATGAAAGTCTCATATACTTCTCATTTCCAGCTTGAACTCGTTGAACATTACCAACAACTCTCAGATCACAGTAGACGCGGAACTAAAAGCATAGGAATTTGACTGCGATTTTTGACTCTCTAATGAGCCTGCTCGCAAATCAAATTTGATCATGTTATAATCTCAACGGAGATCAAATGGTATAATGGCTCTTTCAATTATGTTACTGGAACAACTAGACCATGCATAGCAATGTCAGTATCCGAAAAGAAAACGAAATTGCATGTATGACCACCCACCTGGAACAAACCATGAATCACTCGTTGTTCCCAGTTCTCGATGGGTGGCCGTTTCTCTGGTTTAGTGCACACTTCTACAGCTATATGCGAAAAGTGCGGTATCCGAAATTCGTCGTACTCCCTTTTGGAACGCGGTTCGCACGTGACGTTAATCCACTGCCCCAGCTTCAGTAATTTTTGCCAATCTCTTATAAACGATGTTCTCCTAAAACATAGATATACACCAGTTTAGTGATAAAGCTTTGCTGCAAACACCATCGCGACCGGTGAAGAGTCTCGGAATATCATTTTGGAACTCACTCTACCTGCTAAAAACGTGCTCTAATTTTTGCCTTAAACCCAAAAAAGGAAATTTTTTAGGAAATTGCGTCCAACGTCTTCAGTGAGTACTGTCCCATTCCCCCACCAAGGAAGAAAATTTCAAAGCAGCCATGGACAGTGGTCAAATGTACGAGACACTCTAGTCAACCGACGGTCACAAAAATTTATTAGCTAGGAAGAAGAGAAAAGCTGCACCGAAGAAGATATCCTCGCTACACCCTTCAAAAAACTTTTCGGAACGATCCTAGATTTCGGTAACTTGAAAAACCGAACTTCCACAAGACAGGTTATGAGACAACGAGAAATTTGAAAAACATCCCAGTGAAATATAAATGAGGCTACTTTTATTTCTTAAAATTTCCAAAATTAATTTGACTTTTACAAAAAATTTTCATAACTAACTTTGATGAAATATCCAGCAGATTTTCTGAATCTTTGGAACTGCGTTTCCTTGCACTTAAAGGTACTAATCGACGCGGGTTTTCCGAATATGATACATGTCACTTGTGCAGCCAATGCGCTAATTACAAGCTTGCTAACAACACGTTGGCAGTAGACTTTCCCATAAAGAATCAGGTTTTTTGCATGTGTACGATTGGTAATGAAAAACCGGCACAACTCAAACACTACTCTATTTAATGTTTTTCTAGAGCAGCTTCATAGCAATTAAGCACTACAGTCACTTTCGCTATACTGTTCACTCTAAAGTAAGCGAATTTAGTTCGGAAAGGACATAACTAGTTCTGATGTTAGGCCACTGTAAACAGATTTTGAATAACATCGGTGAATACGGCAACTTGTCAAAATTTGGCATCAGTCAGATCTCCAGTGATACCTAGTGTGACGAACTGCATCGTATGCAGCGCGGGTGCCAACATTCTACTAGAACCAGCTGGACTGTCTGGAAAGGCGAAGAAAAACTTCAAGCAACATCGAAAAAAAAGAATCCATATCCAGGAAGTGAACGAACGAAGTGGCACACCTCTTACAAAAAGAACAGCAACTTACTCCATAAGATCGGCTGGAATAACAATCTTGTGAATTCCTGTGATAGGTGCGTAGCAAATGACGTGGTCGTTTCGGATAGTTACTATGCAGCACCAAGCAGGGATGCGATCCTGGAAGGGATTTCATCCAGCTTTACCTTACAGAACATCACCTTCATACCCTTCCGCTTGGTCTCTCATCGCTTAAGTCCACAATAGTCTCATGATTTGGCTGTACGACTGGGGGAGTCCATCGCTCTACAGCGATGTTCATGGATTTGGGCTGCAACTGCAAGTTCACGAAACATAGAGCGAGTATGCAGCACCATTCAACATTTCAATATGATAGAAACCACACATATATTTTTCACAAGAGAGACTAACAATAAGATTTATCAACCATCATGTGAGCAGAATATCAGACAATATCAAGATACAAAAGGTACTAACCAAAAGTTCTTCCTCCTTTGACGAGTCATAGTAGTAGTCGTCATGAGTTTGTTTATGAGAGCTGAAAAAAGTATATCTGCAATCGAAATGCAATCAAAATTCTGACCTTGGATCATCTGGCATCTCAAAGACGTAAGTCATGCGTTTGTTAAGCTCCTCCACTTTTTTACTATCCATTCTCGATTTCTCCATGGCTGCTGTTCTTGGCACATGATGCATGCTAGTACTCTGTACAGGAATAGATGATATTAAGAAGACCTTCAAACATTCACTCCAACATTCTCGTAACGTGATTTCTGTGCGAACGCAGCAGAAGGGCGATTTTCAACTGCATCTCTGCGACGATCGTTTCTACAAAGGTCAATATGATGCTGAATTGAACGATGCCGTGTCACAACCTACACAATGATATCGCGTCCCTTACTTTCATCGCTGACAAAATCCCGATTGTGGGATGCGAACTGCCGTTGTGCCAACCATCTGTCATTGTCCACACTGTCGATAACAGAACGACAATGGTGTCGTTCGCGATTCCGATTCTCTGCCTGAAACACTCTTTTTTAAAATATATTTTGGCAAAAGAAATTCATAGCTTACCCGATTCATAGAGTGAGACGGCTGCTGCTCATGAGTTGAGTGCGGACGTTGAGGAAAACGTTCCTCGCATGTTTCAAGACCATGTGCCAACCGCTTTCGGTAAAACTTTTCCATTTCTTCCACAGTGTAGCCAGGTGTAATAAATGGTGAGTCAAGCTGAAAGCGACAGAATGCATGACCAGTTCAGAAAAATCCGCAAGTAACTACGCACTCACTGACGTAAAAATTTGACTCACCCTCCGCAAATCAAAACCGTCGTGCCAATTACCATGGAGCTTACGCAAATACCAAGAATCTTTCACAAACTCAATCTAGAAAGCATAAATGAGAACGATGAAAGTAGCGCCTACCATACTTCGACTACTGCTCCTTTGGGAAACTGCGAAGGTATTGCAAAATTTGGTGTCCACTGCGTATCCACTTTGATAGTGCCTACGTCGGCAGATTCGATGAACAGCATTCCATTATGATTATGTATATTTGCTCGTAGCACCAACTATAATCGCAATTTTTAAGTTCACTACAGCTTGAAAGAAGCGCTACTCAGCAAGTTCTTGGGAAAAATGGCTACCGAATGCGTACAATGACCACAAACTCAGCAAACTCTTCTGGTTCCTCACGAATTTTGTACTTTCTCGTAACAATGAAGAGAGGGGAAGCAATGTAACCGATGAGTCGTAACGAGCGACTGTCTAGGACTTGGCCAGGGCGAAAATCGGTTCCTACATACTGTAATCTAAACGACAGCTATAACGATAGCACATGACATTCGATATAGCGTACCTAGCCCAGTGTCCCACTTTCAACTTGATGCTTCCATCGCAGAGAAAACCGAATTTATGGGTTTTAGAGAAGATTAAGTAGCATTTCACATCTGCTCCGACTACTTGTCGGAAAACAATGAGGCAGTTCATGTTGATTGTTTGCTGAATAATGCATTGATTCGGAAATAGACAAAGCTGATTTTGGAACGAACCTCTACTGCTAAAGTCGCTCCCGTCCAGCTGATTTGCCCCCATGGTCGCTCCCCAGAATTCTGAAGTAAGAGCAATCTTGAGACCTGGCTTCGACTCATTTCTAGTAGGCAAATGTAAATGCTTTTTGTTATATAGCTTTTGTTACACAGAAGCAATCACCCACAGAACCAAGATCCTTGTCCTTTTAACGACGTGTACAGAACAGTCTGTATCACGTGCCGGTGCAAGCTCTAATAGCGTGTTCAGCGTAGAAGCAAACGACGGAAACGCAGCGTACGCCGCTTACGTTGTGAAGTCTGGCCCAACCAGTTCGCGACCCAGTTGGACGAGCAACGCAAGGGCTTATTTCAAGAAGTCTCTGCTCTAGTTAACATCACCAGTGCAAGACAAATTCAAAGGTTAAGCAACAATTTAACACGAAGACATTTTTCGCAGTCAAAACTTCTGATACGGATAACCAGGATTTCTGCTGGTTTCATTGTAAACATGTCAAAAAAATTCAAAATGCCCAGGAAACGCCGCGAAAGTCCCTTGGGATTTGAGGACCCCGATATCTGCAAGAGCCTCCCTTGTTTTCCAATCACTCCATCCTCTGAATGATCTAGCAAAGAAAAAAGAAGAAAAAAAATTGAAGTTATGATGTCATGATGGTTTTTTTTTCTAGTCCTCGTAGGTCATGTTCTACAAGGAATTAGCGGACATTACAGTACAGTTGGTAAGATCGAAATAAAGTGCTAAACTCCCGTAATTGCGTTTTTCCCCAACTTGTGTCAAACCCGGCACACAACACACAACACAACACAACACAACACACAATATTTCATTTCATTTCATTTATTACAATAGCATCTAAGACCCTCTGAACAAGAAATGAGAGAACGAAAAACGAGTGATTTGATCAGTGACGCATACTGTCTCCATACTTCAATAAAGTTCGCATTTTAACAATACAAGTAACATTCATGTGAGAACTCTCTTGTCATTTGTGCAGCTTTTTGTACTCTTGACATAACATAAAACACTCACATCTATGGAAGAGGACTGATATTGCATAGATCCGTGACACGAAGAGAAGAGATGAAGGGAAGTATTAGACGCAAGTTCACAGTCGGTGCAAAGGCGCTCTAATGGAACTTTTTGAATTCGCAAAAGCGCAGTAATTCTCGATTGTCGCGCGACAATCGACACAGCGGCCATCCATCTCGTTGAAAATTCTCATCGTTGCTATAGCGTAGATAGGAAGAAGCTGCAAAGGTGGTGCTACACCACCAATGTTATGACCCCATCTCAAGATATTAAGGATTCCTTCGAAGAGAGTTTGAAACTGTAAGTTCAAGTTCCCTATCCTCTTTAGAAATAATCTACATATAACAGACCTTGCAGCAATTCTCAAGAAACTAATACTCATAAACAGCTAGACGCTGCCCCCGAGAGCCATCAGACGACCAAGAGGTCTTGTTTAAACCCTGATTTGATAAGAAGAATTGATTTATTACAGGTCGAGCAATGTAGTTTCCACTCCATTTACTGAAGGTAATAGACCCAACTGTTTCCGCACTCTTAACAAGAATTTAGTTTCACTTACAGGGCAGTCTCTCAATAACTTTAGTGGATTTTTTACCGCCGGTTCAAAAAGCGAGATCAGAGTTAGTGAAGACGCACTCAACGCTGCAAGAGCACGCCTAAACTCCTCCCCTGAAAGGAATTTGCTGGAGAAGTGAGCATATGCTTTAAAAATATAGCTATATACACATTTCATTTCAGCGGAACTGCGGCAGTCTCTCCCGCATTTTTCCCAGGCTTTGTAACTGCAGGATCCAACAAAGTCATCACGGTCACACCAGCTGCTTTAGAAGCAGCGCAACGTTGTTTGAACGAAATCTCGGACCCAGAAGTTCAACTGTTCGTTTACACTCTATCGCCCCATAATAAGTGGCCCTAACACGAATGTTTCAGCACTGGACGTGTCCCAAACGAGGAAAATCTAGACCCATCGCGGAATTCAGCTACGCGTGCAAACGGTGTCAAAAGGTCATTTCATTTTGAATTACAACTTTTCTGTTGCATGGCTAAAGACTACCGCCGAACGAAGGCGCGCAATAGATGCGCGAACGCGGTTTTAACCGCAGAGCGCATGGTTTACGACAGTGAAGATACGCGCGCGCCACGTTCGCGCCCGTCCAACTAATGTTGCTTTTCCGCCTTCGCCTGCCAGTAGCCTTTACATCGCATTTGCAGATATAGATTATTTCGTATATAATTTCCGTAGAGAGAAAATCCATAGCACGCGCGCTGTTTAGTCAGTACTTGGAGAGCGCGAGTGGGCCGGAGTGGAGCCGGCGCACTAAACGACAGACATTTCGCATCTGGTTCGCATAAGCGTAATTAATCGATCCAGTCCTTGAAATCAGCAAAACATTAGTAAAGAGAAAAGTTTAGGGCCTAAAGTACCCTATGAATAGGTCTTTTATTAAAGAGGTCCAAAATGATTAACATAACATTGGCATTGACAGTTGCTCTTTGTAGGTGCGTGAGGTACATCAGTCATATTTCAGAGCGGCAAACCAGCCTTTTACAGTCAAGAGGCCGAAAAGAAATCAGTTCAGCTCTCCATTCCGAGCGCCAGACATGGTGAAATCGCCTCTTCCTGCAGGTATCAGTTTTTCTCAATGTTGATGCAGTATTTTATCTTCTTATCTAGGCGTTTCAACTGTGGCCGCAACCAGTGGAGTCTCTGCAGTCTCCACGTCTTCTCGCATCACATGTATTCGCGAACTGCGAAGTTGCAAGTCCATCTCTGTGGGTGGGTAAGCATTTTATTAGGTTAGCCAGGCTTGTTTACATATCTAGATTTTAAGACTTTTTGGGCATAGTAGTGGATGGCAACGCGTATTCGTCACACAATGGTGGTGTTCCTCGAATTAAAGTGAGTTTATTTCGACTGAGCAGTGGTAATGTGAAGACTTTGAACAACGAGTGAAACATTTATACTATTTGTAAGCAGCGAGTGACAGACTTGATTTATAGGTGGCAGATCGCTATGGAGAATGTGTATCTGTTGAAGTGCACTCAAGCTCTATCCCTTCCAACATGTCAAGGGGCTCTGTCATTTCCATAGAAGGCGCCTTGCTTAGGCACCAACAAGGTATCTAATTCTCTTTCACTTTCTAGATTTCAGATCATCTCCCCATTTTCTTTTTACTCGTTGCAATTTTCTCTGGTAGTAAGGTTTAGAAAAGTTAAGGCAAGTCTTTTGTTTCCATTAATCATTCTCGCTGTTCAATTATGGGCTTTGAATCTCACACTTAGTGGTCGGAAAAAGCGTGTTTGCATACTTAGGGAGAGCAGCAGACAAGAGAGCCATGCAATGGTGTTGTTTCCCAGCAAGCCGACGCCTTGCGCGATTTACTCGTAGGCGGATCTCGAGTAGCTTCCGGAGCAGATTATCTATCAAGCTGTACTCTGCGAGGCCTTCGTTGTAGCTTTTTATGAAGAATCTTTGCCTTCAAAGCAGCAGGCAGAAGAAGGTAGTCTACATTAGCAACTGTGACTAACGAGCGAGCAAATAGCTTGAGAATCGTCACGGAAGTGACCGCTTCCACCTCGGAAGTCCTTGGAGCGCAGCGTCACCGTTCTTTTATGATTGGACAAGCTTGAAAGATAATCTTTCCAGATACTTTAGGCCCGTATTGGTAGCGTTAAAAAATAAGTGGGACAGATTTTGCGAGTCGATGATCCGTATCTATTATTTCAGACGTTATTTCACTTACGTTGACGGATACAGCATTCGTAGACTTGGAACCAAGTGACCCGGAAGCGGACTGCCTTCATCGGTTATTCAGCACAGGCTTATTCGATAATCTTGCTGAAGAGACATTTTGTTGTATGTGTTTCATTTCCCATAAATCCACACCAACTTCAAATATTCGTTTTGGTTCCTAACACATCACTGCGATTGATTGGACGTCTGAAAGAGTATCCTGGAGAGGTTTCTTCTGTCATGGCTCGAATAACCGACATAAATATTGATGATGCCATTTACTTGGGGTAATCAACTCTCATTCTCTACATCCAGCCATTAATATTCTTTCAGGTGTACTTCTTGTGCGCAAAAAGTTACTCCTCAACTCAAGGGTGTTGTTTCATGTCAGCATTGTGGCAATAACAGAGCACGATATTTATATAATCTGGATGTAAGTCTATGGGAATCAGGTGATGATCTAAATTTGAAATTTAGGTGGAGCTTGCTGATTTTAGCGGTGTTACTAATGTGATATTGTCCGATGATGCCGCCAAAAAGTTGATTGGGAGGCCTGCTGCGGCACTGCTGAAAATTGGAAAGGAAGAACTCCAAAAAAAGTAAGCTAAAGGTCTTTCTCAACGCTTTGAGATGTATTGTATAAGATAAGACGTTTTGAACTTTTTGCATCCCTTGAGAATTACTTTTTACTTTTTGCCTTTCGTTATCGTATCTAGAGTTCCCGTTTGATATAGTGCGTTTCGGTGCGAAGATTGTACGGTAAAACTTGCGCGTGAACAAATAGCCACGCGAGTAATGCCGGCCCCAGCGCTCTCCGGTAATTGTAGAGGGCACTTGCATTGGCTTGCGGAATATTGCGGGGGACCGATCACGGGAGTCATGGGTCCCCACACATTGGTATCCGATGCAATGTGATTGGGAGATGAATATAAGCCGTGAGTGCCCCGTCTACGCTGCGACTTAAGCAGTGAGTTAGGCCTTCAGAATAAGTTTCAGGTGTCCCTATATGCCACAATTGCTTGAATGGCACCTTCAGTCGATCTTCTCGGTGTTAAATTACTTTGCAATAATATAGCAGGTGCAAACTCTAACTCTGCAAACGCTAGATCTTGAGAATGGGGCACAGCTTCAACGACGATAGATGAATTTCTTGTTTTTTACTATGGCCTTGGCCAGACTTCGCTCAAAAGCGCCCAAAAGCGCCCAAATTTCTCTGGTGTCTCTTCACTTTCTCGTGTGAGAGGAGATGAGGGAGAGTGAGGAGAGGTTAGAGAGGTTTGGGCGCTTTTGCGCGCTTTTGAGCGCTTTTGGGCGCTTTTGAGCTAAGTCTGGCCAGGGCCTATCTGTTTCTCACTTCTCAGTGAATGCCGCTTGCATTAAAGGTCTCCTCCTTGCATATCCATTTTTGAGAATTTCTTTCAAGTAGGAACTATTAAACAAAGCATACTATCGCATAGACCGCGTTTTCCATTTCTGATCCCCGGTTATTCGCAGTTTATAAATTGCTCGATTCCTGGTATGAGTATCAAGCTCATAGCCTTCTGCTGCAACGAAAATTTGGAGCCAAACACTTCCTAAGGAAATTATGGCTCTTGCAGTAGGCCTTTTCAGATCAAATCCGCCGTCAATTATTACGTGTGCCTGTAAAAGTGCAGTCACAGAAAATCATGCGTACAGACGCATTCAAAAATTGTACATTTGGTGCACTATCTACCAGCAGTAAATGTTAGGAAAAAGCCCACTTGCGCAGATACTTAGGAGATACATTCGTTTTTTTTTCAGATTGAATGATCTTTGCTTCCGGCCTATGCTCTTTCGCGTCATACTGAGCAACTCAAAATGGATGGTTGACGATTGTACGCAACTGGATATTGCGAAGTTTAAACCCTATCTGAAAGATATAGCCGAACAAAAGGGATTCAAAGGAGCAGAATATTAAGATTGTTGTATATATAAAGGCTGTTTACTTGGTGTGACAAACAATCAACTTCCACGCCGCAATAGCGTGTGGTCCGCAGAAAGCCGTTAAATCACTGCCTCATTTGATTCCGCAGGTTTCTTATAAAAAGCCTGGTGGTTCTGTTTCATTTGATACATGTATCATAATTATATGAGTGTCTGTCTCTGCATCGTTTATCCTGTGCATATCTGGATTAGATGAAAACTTTTCCTATCTGCCTGTATTATCTGCACGGTTTGAAAGTCCCGTATTTCTTTCTGACGACTGTTCATTACCTAGGTTCAGTTCTTGAGTAAAACACTTGTTTGTCTTAGATTGTGCTAATAACACTTCGCAAAGAGAAACTGTTTGAAGTATCAAGTTGCCGCGTGAATTTGAATTAGCTTGTTCCACTTTTGAATGTGGACGTATCGCATAGACGGTTTGAAGACGTGGAATTTGAAAACGTGGCAAGTAGCGAATAATCTCAATATTAGCAGTTTTCAATCGTGCTTAATAGATATTAGTTAAGTACAATTTGTTGAACTCATTGAAGAATGGCAGTCTCTTCCGGGTGCACCAGCTTTGGAGTAGAATAGAAATTCATAAAGTGTTTTGAGCATTTGATGCTGATTTTAGTGTTGAATTGAGAAAAACTGCGAAGTATGAGTAGTAATAGATGGCAGCGTGTAATTGCAATTCTGAAAGAATAATCTATCACGATTTCGATAGAAGAAGTGAGTGGTAGATTACAAAAGCTCGAAACAGTGGTAGCCTCTTCAATGTATGCGTTTTGCCATGAAGCTAATTTGTGTCCCTCAGCACTTCTTAAAATTCGCGGTAACTGCGGCTGCTCATGTCACTCTTTTCTCCTTTGCCCGGATTCGGGGCTTTCTTGGCACATTAGTTTTCGAACTTCTGTAACTACTACGCGTCACTTCAGCAAATGAGCTGCTTTGCGGTAATTCTGGGAGGTACTCTGAGGCGTGAACTATAAACTGCACTCGTATTTCAATGTTCCTATTGAAACCTAGTTCAATTTTCTCACCTGTAGAATGGCTGGAAAGAAGAAACATGGAGGGCATGGCCATTCACACGGTGGCGGTGATGATTGTTGCGATCATAATCACTCAGCAGAGGACGCCCACGGTGAAGGATCTTCAATCCAGAACAACTTACCCATTGGGGCTGATATGCAGCAGGTTGGTACACCTTATGACTGTTTTTCAGTAGTAATGATACTGTTTTAGATGGTCAAGCTCGCAGAGCAGCTACAGCGTGTGGGTTTCGATATGTCTCAGCTTGATGGCGGAGCAGCGAAGTTGCAGGAAGCCAAGGTCTTTTCATCTTCTCTTTTTGTTAGCTCTGTCGAATTATATGCATCTTGGAGTGATTTCGTTAAGGCTCAACGGGTTTTCATGACGAATCTGATTTTTAGGAAAAGGGTTTTGCATAGTATCGAATATCGAGATCTAGTGCAACTTAGCATGGCCATGTGGCCCATGCAAATAGCCTAAGCAATTAGCTTTTCTTTAGTCGATCTTGAAAGAGGAATTACAATTTTTGATCTCTTTCTGAATTCAAGGTCAAACTCCGTACAGTTTCAGACAAAGAATTTCGCGTTTTGGAGCACTCAACCTGTACCACAGTTTGGTAAGCCCTTTTATGGGAAGCATAGTGCAGTGGATGAATGTAGTTCCTTGGTAATTCAGATGAAGCTGAACCTTCGAATGAGAACAATTTCATCGAACCAGATCTGCCTGCTGAAAAGGTGATTCAACCGTTCGACTCATAACTTCTGTTTTTTACCATAACTCTGCAGATCCGCCACGAACCGTATTCTCTACCTGAATCGTTTGTGTGGAGCGATGTTGATCTGAACGATGAGAAACAGCTGCAGGTGAACGTGAACTTTCTGATATCGCTACCTTTTTGAATTCTTCATATTGTAAGTGAGATACATATGCTGCATGACCATAACAGCACCATATTCAGGAACTGTATACGCTCTTAACTGAAAATTATGTGGAAGATGACGACAACATGTTCCGCTTCGATTATTCTGCTGCTTTTTTGAAATGGTAGGCATTTTTCCTGCTCATGTTCTAGCTTATGATACGCCGTCTCTAAATAAAGTCTGGCAGTTTTTTGCTTCATTTCTCGGGGTCGCTCCTTTTCATTGTCTTTTTATAACATATATTTTCTTTTTTGTGGGAAAATCTTCATGCTTTGTCATTTAGAGGCAAACTATGTTTAGTGTCAGTTCTTCATAAAGATTCAGCATCATTCGCATTACTTATGTTAAGGGCAGTGCAGATGCCGGGATGGTTGCCTCAGTGGCATTGTGGTGTTCGGGCCAAACAAAGTGGGCGTCTTCTTGCCTTCATTGCTGCTGTTCCACAGACTATCCGTGTTTACGATAAGGAGCGACCGATGGTGGAAATCAACTTTCTATGTGTTCATAAGAAACTTAGGTAACTCCGTCTTTTGTGAGAAATGACAATGTGTTCCTATCATGCTTCATTATAGGTCAAAACGGGTAGCACCGGTATTGATTCGTGAGATAACGCGACGCGTAAATCAGCAGAAAATCTTTCAAGCAGTGTATACAGCTGGTGTTGTTTTACCGAAGCCTGTAGGCGTGTGTAGGTATGTTTCATTTTTGAACTTGCAACACTCTGAAAATGCGTGTTCCAGGTATTGGCATCGCTCTCTGAACCCAAAGAAACTTATTGACGTACGATTTTCACATCTTTCTGCAAAAATGACCATGGCGCGCACTATAAAATTATATAAGCTTCCTGATGTGAGTCAATGTATTTTTTTTCTGTTTGTGGCTTCAATCGTCTACCGTATTGGTCATTTTGTAATTTTTTTTGCTGTTTTTACTTTATTTTGTGGTCGTCTGCAGAATTGCTTTCATCTTTACATTTAGTTTCTTTCGCATTAGTGCCAAAATGTGCTTGCTGTTTGATGGTTAACGTCTCTCTTGTCATGAGGTCTTTCGAAATGCTTTGGGTATTTATGGAACTGGCGTCAACTTAGATTCACAGTGTGTGGCGAAGCGCCGATCGTACTTCATCATTGTTAGATTTCGATAGGAACTTCGGCATATGGCGTCACTGTTGGAAAGCTGTCGTTTCAAATAATTTTAGAAAAGATCTGGAAATTCGCGTGGTACGGTTCGAAGATTCCCAGTTTGATAATCAGATTTGTAAAAGATTATGAAGCTTTCTAAAAGTGTGGCCACATATTACATCGAAATAACTGCTGCCACTGCATAAAGGCTGCGGCTCGGCAGATCCTCGACTTGAAGTTTTTTTTTGCTTATCTGGGGTAATTTGAGGCGCTGATTCCGAAGATCCACCTTGAAGAGCGCGAAAATGGCAAAAACCACCATTTTCCAAGGCCTCCAGTTTTGAATTTGGACGGGTGGAGCACGTCCAGCCATGGTTAGAGAGGCAGAATCGTTGCGGACCCTCGCAATCATAATATTGCGGTGTGCCTTCTCTGAAGGGCTGGGGAGAATCGCAAGCTTGTCCGCGCGTATTGGAATGGCTTGCGCGTAAAGGGATTTTCTAGGCAAGAACAGCATGCTGTGCGCTCAGACCTGCTCTGTGCTCATGTTTGGGGTGCTAGCAACTTTCTGTGTCAAAATTTTGGGATGTTCGGTTTTGGCGAGCTGCTGCCTCCAAATGGCATAACCTTTTGATGAAGCATTATGATGAGATGCAAAATTCGTATTCTGAGTTAGCAACTTTGATTATATTAGCGTGAGAGTTTTCTATTCGCTTTGAGATAGGGTCCTCCATGTCTCAATCTCTTTTCAAAGTTCCTATCGACTACAGAAATAAAGAGGAATCGATGATTCGCGCTATACTATCGATCTAAGTTGAAGCCGGCTCTACAAAATCATGTTATTTAAAGCTTCTCCAAAGACTTCATGACAGTTATTAATGTTCAAACAAATTTTTTGGGACACCTTGTATGTTACAGTGGGGTGCAACATACCACGCCAAATACTTGCACGCTTTATAGACACTGGCTTGCAAAATCCATCGATTTTGGTATGTGATACTTTCTGAAGTACATCTTAGCTCTGGTCACATCTGCTAAGTCATCGCCAAATCCCGATATGTGCTTCGAAGCGCCATCGCTGACGCTTACTGATCGAAGGGGATTGGGGTTTGACGCATGAGGTGGAAGGGTGGGGCTGGAGCGATAGTGTACTTCAGAAGGTTTGCTATCATTTGATGATGGTCTACTTTGCATAGCCACTGAATTCTAGCGCGTACAGGACAGTATGTCACCAATAGGCTCCACCTGCGCGACTGGCACGTTGTTGTGTGGAGGTTCAGTTTAATGCGAATGTCCGCGCAAGAATCCTCTCTCTTAGAACTTTTTCTGTGTATATGAATGTTTTATTCAGTGTAGAAACTACAGCACTGTAATCAAAGTGCCAAAATACTCAACTAAGATGCCATGCACGGCCAACAATATTCTAGATTTATCGCTTTATCTGTTGTTGTATAAGGGCACGTGCACTATATAGGATTTGATATATGTTTGCTCATACTGAGAATTTGCAGACACCAGTGACAACAGGCCTGAGACCACTTGAGAAGAAGGACATTCCATCAGCTTGGAAGTTACTCACTGAGTATCTGAAGCAGTTCTCTTTAGCTCCTGTGTTTACCAAAAAGGAGTTCGAGCACATCTTCATGCCAATTGAGGATGTCATCTACACGTATGTGCTTGAGGTAACGCTGCGCTGATCTCCCGTTTTCTTCCTTACCACCTGTGAAAAATAACTGCTTTTGTCAAAACTGAGTTTTGCTTTAGACCGGAGGGAAAGTAACGGACATGCTGTCTTTCTATTCGCTACCATCATCTGTGATGCAACATCCAGTCCATAAAAGTATTCGTGCTGTTTATTCTTTTTATAATGTTGCGACAACCGTACCATTCAAGCAGATTATGAATGATGCTCTCATTTTCGCTCATAAGGTTTGACCCTGATTGTTCCCATAATTGCGCTCATATGATCCGTCATTTCAGCTTGGCTTTGATGTGTTCAACGCACTGGATCTCATGCAGAATGCTTCAATTCTAGAAGACCTTAAGTTTGGTATTGGTGATGGAAACCTCCAATATTATCTGTACAACTGGAGGTGCCCAGACATGAAACCGTCTCAAATCGGATTAGTTTTGCAATAAAAGGTAAAGATTTGGTCTTGCTGCTAGCTTTTTTTTTCAATTCACAAATACTCGTCTGGTCTAGCACACAAGTTGTGCTGCAGCAAGTTGTGTTCGAAAAAATTGAGGGACCTTTCGAAGCTTTATTATATTAAGGAGCTCGGGATTGCATCGTTTGCATATCGCGGTGCCGTTTTTTCTCCTCCAGGTATCTGCAAACATTGTTTGCTCACCGTTTTTTCTGTTCTTGTGCCGTGTGTTTGTGTTATGTTGTGTTCATGAAAAATACTGTTCTGGTGACGAATAGAATTCTATCAGGTAGTCATTCATTGTTTTCTGGCACATCAGCTTCCCATTAATTGTGATCCGAAGTTGAAAAATGTTTGTTAATAACGCTGATTTTTTTGACATTGTCTATCTGCAAATAAAGTTTTTATATGTGTATTTGTTGTGCTTCTTCATCACACAATGACAACTTAATTACTGATTATGTGCTACATGCAGAGCAGCGGCGTCGGATCCGGTTTGGAAGGTGGGGAAGGGGGGGGGGGGGTAGGTTGAAGCCCGACAAAAAATCTTTTTGAATGAAGGTGCGTGGTTCAGCTGCTTTGTTTTTGGGATGCTTTTCAAAATCTTTATGGGTCCGCCACGTACCTAGAGAATTTTTTTTCGCAATTTAGATTAAATTCAAAAGTCATTTTGATAGCTTACGATCAAATTGACTCTTCTCCAATATCTTTATGGTTAGACCTTTCTAAACAAACTGACAAACCACGAGGGCGAAGCGCCCGCCCCGCAGTGTTGACACAGGCTATTTTTTACTGATCGAAAGAATAAAAGCTGAGTTTGAGCTTTTCTCAAATTTCACTCCGTCGGCTTTGACGTAAGAGGCGGATAAAGTCGCCTGCACGAAATCACCCATATCGCTGTAGGCTGAACGTCCGCGAGCGTGCCTGCAGCGCGGCTGCCGAGTACGGGTACTACAGTGACACATGCTCGCGAGTGTCAATCTTAGCCCGCAAGACAACCCCCGCGGGTGTTCAGCCGGCGATTCCGTGCATCAACTGTATTATGCTTTTAATGGCAATAGGGTTGCGTAGTGCAGTACACTAGTACGCGCGGGCTGGCTTCCCAGCTGTACTATGCCAACGGATAACGTCATAGCTTCTAATTAACCATAAAAGAATGGAAAACTGTCATAGAAAAAGATGAAGAACCACGCGTCGTTGTGACTGCGCATCTGTGCTCTTAGAACTGGGGCGTATGGTCACGGTTTCGCCGCTCTGCGAGGTATACAGCTTGTTTAGAATGGCTGGATTAGCTTCTGATAATTCCCTTGAAGCATTTTCCTGATAAGAACAAATGACATGGGGTGCTAAAATCTCAAAAACTCCAGCTTGGAACTGGGGTCTACCGAGACTCTCAATGCTCGGAACACCTAGGACGTTGAGTTAGATAAGCATTACAACTTTGGAAGTTTTCTTTGTTTTCAAAAGAGTAGAAAGATCAAAAAAGACGCTGAACCACTGGAGATAATCGGAGATCACTCGAAAAGTTGAATAACGTAGCTTGTACAACAATATGCTCCTCCTCAATATGTTCATACAGGGCTCCTAAATTGCAGAGTCGTTTGCACCAGCGGTCGCGCAACCGCGTCGCGCCCGGGCATTTTGCCGGCGCCGGCGCCATCGATTGAGGCGGTGTCATTGACGCGGTCGCGCGACCGCTGGTGCAAACGACTCTGCAATTTAGGAGTGTAGTTAAAGCAGCAGAAATACTCGAGGGTAGATTAAAAGTGTAAAATTCAGCTCTCTTTAGCTTCAGGATATTAAGCTTTGTTGAGCTGAAAATCCCTCACCGGGTGTTCATGCTTCCGGCCCTGTATCGCTTCCTTCTTAGGCCTCGGGCAGAGTTTACGCGACTTCACCACCTCGCGATTCTCCAACAAGATGACTGTTAGGCCCCGGCCAGACTTCACGCGACTTAATCGTCGCGATCTAGTCGCCAAGATTTCCATCCATTTTCATTTCACATTCAAAAATTTCGGGCTGGGAAAGTATCACAACCGAAATGCAAGTTGATCGGCATGGAATGATGTTGTAACAGTTGTCTCGTCGCGATTCAGTCGCGACGATCAAATCGCGTGAAGTCTGTCGGGGGCCTTACGAGTTCATCGCATGCTGATCTTTTTGCATTGCGAATGTGATAGTTACAGGGCTCCTAAATTGCAGAGTCGTTTGCACCAGCGGTCGCGGGACCGCGTCGCGCCCGGGCATTTTGCCGGTGCCGGCGCCATCGATCGAGGCGGCGCCATTGATGCCCGGGCGCGATGCGGTCGCGCGACCGCTGGTGCAAACGACTGCAATTTAGGAGCCCTGTAGTCACGATAGTCGTGTCGAAACTGCAAGACCGCTCTAAGAACGTGCAAAATTTCCGTGAGTGTCGCAAAAGGGAAATTCCGCAACATTCCGAGAATTTCGGGGAATCACGCGAATTACGCAAATTACGCAGTGCCATAACTTCCTTCGGTATAGAGAACAATAATTCGCCAAGGCCGCATAGGCCGCGCCCATGCCAACCCTTCGGTATAGAGGACGCTGACACAGCCTGTATAAAGAGGACTGGTATTTGTTGCAGATCTCAGCGCGGGACCTTCCCTTTCGGCAACCTGTGTCCTCTACTCCTTCGGAACGATTATATTCCAAATCCGAGAGAAGCGTTGTGCTTAGCTTATCAAGGCGAATTTTGTAATATACAGCATGTCCTTAATATTCCGTATCCAGTTTCCTATATTTTTTCTGCGGACGCTTTTTGCAAGGATGTAATGCACCGCACACCTATGTGAAAGACTCCGAGAAGCACTATCCGGTAGTGCTGTTTCCGTAGATTGTCGTGAAAGCAGCGGGAGACTCCTTTTAAAAGAAATAGAAGAGCTGGTGAATTCGGAAAAAATCGTGCCGTTTTGAACTCTACTCGCTATAACCCTAAAATATCATAACTTATAATAATCGGATAGAATGTTTTCGTCTTTTTGTCTGTGTGTGTCTGTCTGTCCGTCACGAAATTCGTAGAGCGTGTTTCAGCCAATGTCTTGAGCCCAAATTTTGCAGAGCATATGCTAAAAGCATGAAAGTCCACTATGCGAAAGCACGAGCGGATCCGCTCATGAATCTCTCAAAAATTGCGCGTCAAACAGATCCACTTGACCTCTGGCCAGCAAAATTGAGCCTGTACCACCACTTTTTGCGAAATCGTGGATACGTTTGACAAGCTAATGTGGAAGCCATCGACTTTAGCCCAGAATATTGAACTAAAGTTGACTACTTTACGGAAATGGCGCCAAAAAGATCGGGCATCAATGTTCAATACCCAAGATTTTACCGTATCTTTTGTGAAGATTTTCGATATAGCCCACGGTGCTTAAAGGCAGCGGCTCGGCAGAATGGCAACTTTGGGATACTCATCATTCTCGATTCTCCTGGATGAGCTAAGTCCAAGAAGACTGCGCTTTGCGGCTTCAAAAGATATCAGTAACCCGCTTTTCCAGACGTGAAAAGCGCTATTTGAGGGCGGACCGCGTAATTGCCTTCTAGAGCGCGATTGCCTCGTGTGTACACTGGGTACAGTATCTCCACTCACGAGCCAATCGCGCTCTAGAGGGCAATTACGCGATCCGCCCTCAAATAGCGCTTTTCACGTCTGGTTAGCAGGTTATTGATATCTTTTGAAGCTGCAAAGCACCGTATTGGACTTAGCTCATCCAGGAGAGCCGAGAACGATGAATATCCCAAGGTTGTCATTCTGCCAGCCGCTGCCTTTAATGTCCATATGGCGAAAGTCATAAGAAGTCCAAAAACCGATTCAAATTTGTACTCATTCTTCTGGGAAAAGTTTTATCCACGCGAAAATACCGACCTCATACGAAAAGGCTCTGGGAATGAGTGATTGTATACACTCATTCCTAGAGCAAACAAATCATTCGTGATAGCCTGCATAGCGCGGTGAGTTTCAATCTCATTATTATGTGGGAATGAGTAAGGCATACAGAAAGCGAAGCAGAGGTGGCGCACTGGTGATAACAATAATGTTCTGCGAAGCAGCTTGATTTTCGTTACTAGCAATTTGAATAAGCTATATGAGCAAGTTTTCCGAGATGTTCGGGTTATGTCATTTTTTCCCGTTCAGGGCTCGGCACAGCTGGCACCGGATCAAACTGGATATCGTTTTTGGGGCGGAAAGCAGAGGGGATATCGTTTTTGCGTTAGATGCCGCCGTGTGCTAGAATGCCAGTGGCACGCCGCCGGCAAATCGCCAGCAGCGTGCCCCTGGGACAAAAAAGCCTTTTTACAATCAAAACGAAATCATATGACACCAAATTTGGTGTGTGCATGTGCGTTGGGGGACTTGAACTATGGCCCAAAAATTTATGAAAATTTATGTGAAGAAAGCTGTGCCGAACTTTTTTCTGAATTAGCTGGCACCGTGCCAGCTGGGTGCCAGCTGAGCTGGCACCGACCCTTTGCTCACATAAGTTTTCATACTTTTCTACATGAGTTGTATCTGCACTGTAAAAGTTTACATACGGAGCAAAAACAATTTCATAATGTTTTGTTCTAGGCGTTTTATAGCCATCTGAAAATTTCTCGGTCTGCTCCGCACACGAAAAATCTGCTCTAATCACAAAGCGCGCCCTAAGCAAATGCAAAACACGTTAAAGGGGACTTCGAAGAAAACTTTTAAGATCAAACTTCGTTTTAGAATTTCCTTGGTGCCAGCTCGTGCCGAGCCCTGTTCCCGTTCTATCCTCTGAAGCTCGACGATGAATTTTGGTAGTTGGTAGTAAATGGACCTCAGCTACTCACTTAAATTCAAAACAGCTCCGTGGCTAGAGCTCGGATTCTCTAACTACCCATCAAACGGGAGGATTTCTTGGGCAAGTGAGCATAAAATGGAATAAGCGTGTTTAGCAACCACTCAAGATGGAATTTCGACGAAATATGCAGTCTTTGCGCTTCGGGCAATATTCATGAGGACGCCGTTCCGTATACCCGTAACTCGGCGACTGATAGAAACTGGGTCCGGAGACGTGCACCATTCAAGAGCTTGGTTTCTAGTGACTTTGACCTGCAAAGACAACCAGACAAATTTCTTAAAAGATACGCGAAAAATGCAGAATTAACGAACTTTCGTGGCTTCCTCCATATCGCTGCTAGAAGACCATGTACTCCGCAAAGACTACAATTTTTGTAAACAGCGTGTCCGAAAACCTCCATACTTTCTGTTGTGTTAATGTCTGATCACTTGTTTCCTCGTATGATCTGCCCTCGCTGAGGCGCCTGCAGCCTCATTGCGCGGGAAATGAGCGCTATAAAAGGCGCTCGCTGTTAGCCATTGTCAGTTCGTCTGTTTCACCCATCCGCCTCTCTTATCTTTAACTGTTCT